CGGCACCTGGCCGAGATGAGCAGGGAACCAAATGACAGTGTGGTGCTTCAGGGCACTCGGGTTCGCACTGCGCAGGACAAGTAACGCCTGGTTGGAGATGACTCCGTGTTCGAAGGCTTTGATGGCCGGCCTTGAGTTTCTGTAGATGAATTCCCGTTTGCTGTCGAGCATAGCTATAGCTATAGCTACTTGCTCCGCTACTTCGGGGTTTCTGGTGAGGATTGTGGCAGAGTTAAAAGTCTGGTGCGCGGATAATACAAACAGATTAGAAAATTTTACATGACAGCGCAGGAATGCCACGTGCCTCACCAACAACGGCGCATGTGTTGCGAGCGAGATGTTTGCGTAAATTTTCACTTGACCGAAAAAAATCACAGCATATTCACGAAGTGAATGATGATTGGATGAAGCTCCGGGGGATCACATACCCCCTACTTTCTTTCTTTCTTTCTTTCTTTCTTTCTTTCTTTCTTTCTTTCTTTCTTTCTTTCTTTCTTTCTTTCTTTCTTTCTTTCTTTCTTTCTTTCTTTCTCTCTTCTTTGTTTCTTTCTTTCTTTCTTTCTTTCTTTCTTAACGAAGTGCACTTCATTAGAGAAAGAGAGCCAGAAGCAAGCGCATTTTCTCGTTCTTGGGGCGCCGCACCGAAAGAAACAGCGTGCCACGAGGGCACCCGCAATTATAGCGTTTTACTTCACCGCGCACAAGGCGGTACGCGCGCAACGGCTAGCCCGCTACGTACGTTACAGCTTAGGCTGCTTCCTACAGTATTAGTTTAGCGTACACAACAACGGGCACATAGACTGCGCCTAAGCGTGAAAACGTTCGTCTTGGAGTGATGTTCGGCGCCACCTAGTGGTTAGGCAATAAACTACAATAGCCAACCATAGTTGACACGAGTCAAGACATGAAAAGCCAAAACTTCACGAGCAGCTCCATCCGACTGCGGACATTCTGGGCGTTGAAGGGTATCCCCCATCAGCTCCTGTATTTTCACAGCGATAACTGTCTATTGCACGGGGTCCACGAACAAATTTAAGCTCCTCACGTAAGCAAGGAGCTCCAAATCGAGGGAAATCGTAAAATGCACGCGGGATTTACTCGCCGCCATGACTGCACCGCTGCTTGTGCTGCTGTTGGTCGCGGCCATCTTGGTTTTCGTTTTCTCATCAGGGGGAGATCTTGCGAGAGCCGCTGCTAAGGTACCCAACGGCTGTAGCGTACGCAACGTAAAAAGCCGAGACCTAGTGTACGCATCCCTCGAGTGCGCAAACGCACGCATCTTTCTTACGTACAGCGCATGCGCAGCCATGCTCCCTCTTGGGTGATGCGTGCGCTAGGCCATTGCGCACACTTAACTAAAACTCTCTATCATCGTTCTCCTCTTCTACCTACAATCGGCACGCTCTTGGCCAGTGTTCCCAGCGCGTGCAAGCCTGGACAAAAGGCATCGGAAGGGCAAGGCTCTGCCTTAAGGTGCTTCGGTCCTAAAAGCAGCGGCATCCGTGCAATGCCAGTGTGAAAAAAAAAACAAAAACTCGCAATGTGATAGTTTGGCAGAGGAGCCGAAACGCGGAAGTACTTGTGTTTGAGGAGTGACTCTACGGTCCACCCAATGCTAAACCAAACATCAGAACCAATATCACTAGAAAGTTTGTGTTAGCCACAGGAACGTTTTCACGATTTCAATTTTATTGGGCTACACCAACGTCAGACTGCTGCACCACGTCGATGATCAGGCTCAATATTGTGGTCACTTAGGATGGTGAAAAAAGTGTGTTATATAAACTTCATGCGCTCGCACAGCGGCTTTGTCAAGTAAAACCATGTATTTTGTGTACTCACTGCAGCTGAACAGCGAAACTGGTGGCATCGTACGGCTAGTTCACTGCTCGACTTTCCTCAATATTAGCAGAGTCCTTCAATACTTTTCTGGTCACGAAACTTCTCCGTAACGCTATGGGAGAGCTTCATATGGGGATCAAAGCTCCCGCGCGGTGGCGCTACGAGTCTGGTGAAGGCGGCTTGGACGGCGGCGGCCGCATTTGCAGCGTTTGCAGTGCGTTGGAGCGCGAGCTTACTGGTTTGTTTGTTGTGTGGTATAGCTGTCTACACTCATCACGGACGGCAAACTATGTGAACTACCATGCCTCTGACGTGCTGCGTACCTGGTTGCCGCTCTGGCTATCGGAGTTGTACAGAAAAAGCTTCGCTGTTCTGCCTCCCAAGCGACCGCGAACAACGCGACAGGTGGAAGCGAGCCATTCCACGACAGGAGACGGGCGCTTTCAACTTCGAGTCGAAGGCCGTTCGTGTGTGCGAGAAACATTTCGACACCACGGACATTATTCGAGCCGATGAGTTCAGAATAAGTGGACAATCTGTGCTTCTGCAGCGCGAGAAGCCTAAGCTCCGCGTCGGTGCCATACCCCGGATATTTGAAAACCTGCCGGCGTATCTTACGAAGCCCAAGCCACGGTCGCGCTCACAGCGAGAAAATCCGCCTGCAAAACGTCGTCGCGTTTCGTCGCCGAACAACGATGGCACTGCAGCTTCTGTGAGCTCCAGCACAGAGCCCTGCGATCCTGAAGCAGCCGGAGATTATGGTAAGCCTCCATTCGCGTTGCCTTGTTTTCTTGTTTCACTATGTTGAGAGCCTGTATTGCCTGTGTGCTGCGTGATGTCGCATTATATTGATCCATATTTCTTCGTTTGACAGGTGGAGTGATAAGCACTGGAAGCTGCACAGAGATGGCATGCCAGACAGAGGGAAATGTCTGCTCCATCTCAGAGCTCCACGCAGTTAAAGACCAGCTTCGAAGCACTAAGCAGCAACTTCGTTTGTGCCAAGTGAAGATTGCGAAATTGACAGTGCAAGCGAATCGGAGCAGAAGATCGCACCAAGACGTTCAGAAGCTTTCGGCTCGCGAGAAGCTCATTTTTGACCACTGGCTCATGAAAGCCAACGTGAAGTCTGCAACAGCTGCGCGGTAAGTTCCAAATACCCCATCACACACGTAACATTGCTATTGGATTGCCCCTTTTGCGTTTGAAAATGTTATCTCAAGGTGAAGCCTTCATTTATTCATCATGTATTTGTATCTGTTGTACCGCAAAACAATATGCTATTGAGGCAGACATTGGTTTGGCCGTTTTGTGTAGTGTTATTTCTAATTTCGGGAAAAATTGCAGGTTTGTTTGGGCAAATATACTTTCTTCAGTTTTTATAACACCATTCTCATTATTTTTTGCTTTGCATGAATAGTTTCCAACACGCTCATTGTGGAAAACAAATTTGCAATTCATTCTCTCCAGGTACAAAAAAGAGTGGATTTATGACTGCTTGCTGCTAAAGATAAAGTCCACAGCAGTCTACTTTTTTCTTCATGAAAATGAATTTTTGCCCCTTCCAAATCCCCGCACCCTCTATGGCTACCTCAGAAATCTGAAAGCTGATTTTGGCTTCGACAGCACTTTGTTCACGGTTCTGTGTGAAACGCTAGAAGCAGTTCCAGAAAGAGAGCGTCGAGGTAAGAAGCAGTACTCATTTTTATAATTGTATTATGTTCAGCAGCGCAATTGAGACAAGATGTTAACCTACCCAAAACTTTCCAGGAGTGCTCATGTTAGATGAAATGAGCGTCAGAAAAAGCGTCCACATTCGCGAATCGGACATGGCACTGCTGGGCAAGGTGGATTTCGCCGAACACACACGACCAGGTGACCATGGCAAAGACGGCAACCACGTGCTGGTCTTTCTGTTTCGGCCTTTTCTGGGAGGGTGGTCACAAACTGTGGGCACATTTCGTGCTTCTGGTGCTGCCCCAGGATCAATCGTGGCGAAGCTCCTTTTGCAGTGCATTGTTCACCTTACAAACGCTGGTGTTGTTGTTGACGCAGTGACCTGCGACAACTCCACATCAAACCAATCAGCCTTGAGATCTCTGGGTACGTCTTTTAAAATTTTATTTAGCTGTGGTTAGTGATGTAGTAGAAAAACAAGTGTACTATCAGAGTATCAGAGTCCGTACTAATAAACTGTTTTTCTCTCAAGGTGTCAACGGGGACATGCACAAGCTTCAAACGTGTTTTGAACACCCGTGTGAGCCCTCAAAGCAAGTCCACGTTGTAATTGATCCACCGCACAGATTTAAGTGCATCAGAAACAACTTGCTCAAAGTGGGCAAGTTTTTGGTAAGTAAAAAAAAGTTGCATGTGAATGCCTTGACCTGTGCATAAACTATTCAGTTTAAAAAAAAAAATTTGTCACTTGTCCTTATGTTGCAGCTCCCTCAAGGACAGGAGGTGTTCCACTGTCACTACAAGGACTTACTGGACTATGTAGAAGAACAGGCTGGACTCCGGGCTGTACCGAAGTTAACGAAAGCCCATATTTTCCCCAATGCGTTCCAAAAGATGAGCGTGAAGTTGGCTGTCCAGGCAAGTCATGCACGCAGCTATGTTCAGTGCAAAGTGTATATCAAAAACATCTGCTCACACGTTTTGGGAAGTAAACTTAAAATCCTTTTTTTCCACACATTTTACAGCTGTTCAGTGAGAGTACTGCTTCGGCCATGGAGTTTTATAGCGAGCAGGAAGACTGCAAGAAGCTCCATGGGTCGGCTGCAACATCGCAATTCACAAGAACATTGAACAAGCTGTTCGACTGCCTGAACTCTCGGAGGCCAGACCATGTTCGATTCAACGAAGCACAACACATTGCTGTGAGATTATTACATGTGTTATGAAGTGTTTTTCGTGTACTATAGATGAAGCATAATTTTATTCCAGGTGTTGAAGGACAGCATTGCATGGCTGGACAACTGGGAGAAATACATCAAGACATTACCGACCCAGAGGCAAGTCTGCTTTTAGAGTAAGCAGACATGTGGAGCCCTCAGACTGACACTGCATAGCTCAGTTGCACTCATCGAGAGCTTGCTGTTGTCTGGGTTTCGTTACGTTCTCGTTGGGAACTTCGGACAAAATCCTCTAGAGGTAAACATGATGACTTTTATGTGTATAAATGTGCTATGAATTTCTCATTGTTGCGATAAATTGATTTTTTCTTTCTAGAGGTTTTTCGGCATCGTCAGGCATGTTGCTGGTGACGGAGGGCAGCCGACTGTGCAACATTTTTTGTTCATCTATCGGATGCTCTCTGTAAACAACCTAGTTCGGCCGCCAAAACGGGCCTCGGTCGAGGGAGATGGACCCCAGCTGTTGCTCAAGCTCCAGGGCCTCTTTGACAAGGGAAAACCTGCCTCCAGTCAGGTAACGTGCCCCTTGCTTTTATTTATTAGCTCTAGTTTCTTTTTTTCAGGAGCAGTTTCACTACACAAATGACCAAATAACCAAATGAAACATAATGTGTTTTTGCATTTACGAATCTCAACTTATACATTGAAAGATTTGAAACTTGGAATGTATTTTGCAGATTGACATGTTGGCGGTCCTCTTTGATGACGTTCTTGAGGAGCCGGGAGAGGCAGTGAACAATGCATCCGTGCCTGACGTTACGCTCTCCACCAAAGAGTGCATTCTTGATTATCTTGCCGGTTACGTGGTAAAGAAGTTTTCAACGATAAGCTGCACTGACTGCGTGGGAACACTCAAGAGCCAGACACGAGAGCCAACTGACCTAATCCAGAAGAAGTCAAGAGGATTCCTGCAAGTGCCCTCATCCCAGCTTCTCAGCCTGTTGCGCATTGTGGAAGGACATGTTGAAGAACTGACTGTGGACACAGTTGCATGTGCCGATGTGTATGCGAACATTGTTGACCAAGTTTTGCTCGACAGCCGCATTGCTTCTGCTGGTGTGGGCTGTAGGTTGGACTATGTGGGTACCACAGCAGAGGTTGTTCATTTTTTCTTGAGGTGCCGCCTGCACTTTTACACCAGGGAAAAAAACAAGCTGACACGAGCGACGCGGCGAGCAAACTGCCCAGCAAATGGTGGCAACAAGCCCCATGGGTAGCAGATTTTCTGTTTGTCATGCTATGTAAAGCCCAACTGTTGTGTTTTGTGTTTGCTAGTGACAAAAAACACTTGCACATTTGTGTTCCTAGTTGCTTGTGTGACGTTGTTTATTTCCTTTATCCACCATGCTATTGCCGTAAACGTGTATGAATAAACACTTGCACCACAGCCGCGGCGCGTTTTCTAGTCATTTGCATGCGCTTGGCAGCTGCCTGCGACGATCAGCAAGTGGCCAGTCAGGTTACTGTCATCTGTGTGGCGGAACCAAAATCCACGGCGGCGACATTTTGATTATCCAATCAGGTATTTTGAATTTGCAAAGCGGAGCATGGCTAGCTTTGCCTGTATTTCTTTTTTAATTTTTTTTAGTGTCCCCGCCGCGGTGGCTCAGGGGCTAGGGCGCTGTGCTGATGATGATGAGCCCAAGGACGCGGGTTCCCAGCCGCTTTTCTGATGGAGGCGAAAAGAGAAAATGCCTGTGTTTTAGAGATTCCCGCGCATGTTAAAGATACCTGGGTGGTTAAAATTATTCCGGAGAGCTACACTACGGCGCGCGCCCGATTGCCTGCATAGCGTCAGCGCGTTAAACCTCATAACCAAGTAATCAATTAACTTGTCGTTTTGGTGGGACGAGTGTGTCAGACACTGACCATACGAGTTTTTCTGTTGACACCCTATACCTATGTTGACAGCCGGGAAAGTCGCTCAAGTGTGTAGCATTTACTCCTACGCGCGCTCATTATGCTGCTTCCATTTCGTGAGCGTTTTTCTTCATCATGTTGATGCTCACTTTCCAAACCTAGGTTATTTTTGTACATTATTAGCGCGCTATAAAATCGCGCAGACACAGCGCTAACCCAACGTGCTGTACGTTTGCACACCTATTTGCTAAGCGCAGCATGTCGCCCAGGGCTGTATATACCGATTTAAATCTGGTGCTAGTTAACTCAAATGCAGGAAACTGCAAAGACTACTCAAAAATCGAAAACGCCAGTTGTCCTCCTTCTCAAAGCGAGAACGTAGCGGCCGTGACTACCGCAACGAACGAACGCTGCAACATATACGACTCAGTAACACGCGTGGCCTTGCCTCTATTTCACAGCTAAGCTAAGCGTCAACTGAATCAAAAACACGCACACTTCGCTCGCGTCGCTCGCGTTTTTACAGGTCGCGTTTTTACAGGTGGAAATGAAGAGCAGATGAAATTAGGCGCATTGCCGACGGAGAAACAGCCGGCCCGCAAGCGTCGCCGGCCGCCGGCGAAGCCTTCACGCTAACATGGGCGATCCTAGCGGCAGCTTTTGTCCCTGAATGAAACTTCGGCCGGAGTTTCGTGACCAGAAAAGCATTGAAGGACTCTGATATTAGTATCGGCACTAACGGCCGACAAGAATTCCGGTATTTTTACTTCAAGTCACGGAACAATTCTTGAAGCCCGGTATTCTTACCCCTAGTCACGGAAAAATTCTTGTAACACATGCAAAGTATGGCTGCTCTATACTGTCTTCGAAACGAGCACGATTCACGAAGATGCTTGGTCGTCTATGAAATTTTGCAGAGAGTGTCACAGTTTGTACATTTGCACATTGGGAAACACTGAGAATTCTGAATGATGGCCCGTCTTTTAAAACGATAGCATTAAAGAGCTCGCTCGTCTCACATAACTTCCGCTTCCGGTGTCAGCGTGGGCGCGGGCGTCGTTGGTTGTGAGCGAGAAATCTTCTTGTCTGTGACCAAGAAATTGAGGAAGATTTAAACGAAATAAATAATACTGATACCATGGTCCGAGTGAGAACCGCAGCCATGGAGGCCGTTTGCTTGGCAAAACAGGTGTTCGGCCATAGAGCCACGCGCCTACTTGAAAATACTATGACAATGAATTCCCCTGCTTGGAAATGCAAGGACAATAACTTTCATGTTTTACAAACACACCCATCTTGTATACAAGCTTCACAATACAACATCTAATGCAGCAGTAATATTGCGTGGTACATGTGATTGGGCGTCTTAACATGTGATTATCATGACGACTTTGTGGTTTATAGCCGGCCACCAATTACACAAAACACACACGTTACAGCGCGTATCTCTTAAAATGGCAGTTCCAGTGCCGCCATATTATCAGTAGTTCTGATAGAGACACCCAAAGACGTCATTCATCTATGTTACCAGAAAGGAAGCAAACTGTGCGTGCGAGTATTGAATTCGAATTGAACTTGAGTTGAAATTTGTATTTCAGCAAACAGGAAGTACAATTTGCCAAGGGGACCGGCGAAAAGGCATAAAAGCCTGAAGAGGAGCCTGCCCCCTGCAAACCCAATATCCCACCAAAACGACACAATGCCCAGTGTAAAATTAATCAGTTAACAAGAAAAAAAAAGCATGAACGACTATTGCTACATGCAAGCGACACGTGCAAAGAAAAGGTGACATTAGTTCAGGTAATGATAGCAATAAATAGTTCATGTGACTATCAAACGAAACACAGCGTCACCTCACGCGTCTTTTGCATGCTTGTGCTCCTAGTTTTCGTCGGCCGATTTTGTTGCCTCACGCGGCTCTTGCATGTCGCGCGAGGTGACAGAATCAGCCGACGAAAAGCTAGGAACACAGACGGAGAAGTATCGTTTCGTTCATGTGTGAAATCACGCACGCACGCAAACAGACAAACACTCGTTCGCCCACTATATTGCGCGTTCATGAAATAACGATCGAACATAACGTCAATCAAAGCCTTTGAAGCGCTTGAGTGCACTGGCATGACCGCTTAACTTCTTTTTAATGTGGTGGCCATGGCACTGGTAGCCACCATAGCATTGGCTTGAGTTGTGTCGCATGAGTGCGTGTGTATTCTTTTTTTCTCGTGGTTTGTTTTGCGCGCTTTTGCTTATTCTCAGGCAAAAATTACAGTGGCTTAGCCCGGCTATGCTAAGATATATGAGTCGGGAGCTGCGGATGGACGGACGGATGGACGAACGGATGAGCACGGACGGACTTGAACAAACCACGGGTGCATGGATGTACGGACGGATGGATGAATCATGAATGGACGGACGGAGCCCGGACGGACGGACGACCATAGATGGAGGGACTTGATGAACAAACCAGAGACGCATGAATAGACGAACCATATAGATGGACGGACGAACCACGGACGGACGAACCACCACAGATGGACGGACTTGATGAAAGAACGACGGAGGCACGGATGGTCGGCGGATGTACGAACCAATAATAGACGGACGTAAGGACTAGAGAGCGAGCGATCTCACGTGAGTGAAGCGCCACTAGTGATACGCCACTCCAGAAACTTCTAGGCCTTCGGCGCACCAGCTGCGCGCCGTGTTATGTCAAGTGCTCCTCGCGCTTGAGAACTGCTTACCGAAAGCCACGCGAAACTGCTCAACCTCAGCCAGTGTAAGTTACGCTACACAAACAGCGAGGAATATTTCAGCACAAGACAAACTTGGGATTCTGGGGTTATTTGCTAAATTCCACCCCTTCGATAAGATAAAAAGGTTACCTAAATAAAGTGAGTCGTGTTGATGATTAGTTAAACACATGACTACCCCTAATGCAAAAGAGTGAGAAACGTCTAGACCACATGCTTATTCTGAATAATTTTATTAGAGTATAATGAAACACCTGGTACATGTATGGGATCACGTGGAATATAATGCATAAGTTGTTGGTTCGCACTGTTTCCCGTCTTACTTTCACCGTCGTTGGGGTGCTGGCCAAATTATGAGAATAAGTTGTCTCACGAAGGTTCTTGCTTTATGAAATTCATGCCAGCTCACCGGACCTAGCACTGATATTGCCAGTGTCATGGAATGACCATCGCGAAAAAGCACGCGTAGCTTTGTTTCTTTTTTGCATTTTCACCGACAGTCGTTTTCTAGATGCGACAGAAGTGCACGAACACACAGATTGACAAGTAGCAGCCCAATCGGGCCCAGAATAGCACTTAGGGAAAGGGCGGGGGAGGGGGCTATTCATATTCGTGAGTCATAGGGAATTATGACAGCACCAATGAGTCTTCATGAAAAATGTACATAATAGCGACATACCTGAGCCCATATGTGTTTCTTCTATGAATTTTTTTTCCTAAGTATATCGGCTAGCACAGGCGTGCACACAAGGGGGTAGGGCAGCCCCCGCTCTCTTAGTTTCCTAAGAGTCGGTGCGCGAAGTCTGCTCCTTACAATGAATTGAAAGTGAAGAGGGCGATGCGATTAACCATTGTCTCATTCTACTGAAGGGGGCCCTGCACACACCTGTCTGCCGGCATCGCCTGGCAGACAAAGGCGTGCGCAGGTCAAGGACAGTTTTGTCATGCCCAGGTCACTCAATGTTGCTTTTAATTAGTCAGACATCGTATGGTCTACACAAGCGATGGCTGAATAAACTACAGTATTCGATAAATTTTCTCATTGCACGTGCTATGAGTCTATATAGCGTCAATTCTACACGCATCGTCTAATTCTTACGCGCTATTTAGGGTTTATGTTTACTATGCTCAATCACTTGTCATTCATTGCAAGAGGCATAACACAGGCCCATCTTTGATTTTCCCATGGACTATGAGCACTCGAAAAAAAAAGTCAAGTGGAAATGTTACTGTTACGCGAGTGTAATTGTTAAGTGCGTAGACACAATACATGTGTCAACAAGAAGAATATCTACAGGAAATGACGTGTTGGAATATTTCTGTAGGTTTCAAGACACGTGACCTTTACTTTATTGCACAAGGCTTAGAATTTCAGCACGTGGTTTAGAATGTCTGTGCTCGCACAGTCATCGGCACTTTTCACTGCAGTCGGTAAAATAAGACCCGTTTATTGTTTGCTGATAATCCCACGGTTCCGCCGGCGTCATGCTGACCACCCCGCGTGGGGAGAACAGGTTTCCACGAATGGCCGCATCAGACTCAATAATACAATAATAGAGAGAGATGAGGGCAAGGTCTTTGTTCGGATTATATAGAAAAGGCTTTTA